CCTCCTTTCTCAGAGACAGGGCACCCTCTGGCAACCTCGTCCTGATCTATGGAACCTCCACGTGTGTTCCCTGGACGTGACGAGGTGGGTTTGAGTACCCTATACCACCTCCAGTGGTGGCTACCATCACTTCCGCTAGAGCATTGTCCACGAGACATGGCTATGCGTTGAAGTGGAACCTCTTCGTCACCTGGTACCCCAGGAAATACCAGATCAGTGTCGCGCTTTCCTTCCTGCAAGATGGGTTGGAGCGAAGGCTGTCTCCCTCCACTCTCAAAGTGTATGTTGCCCCTATCGCCGCACATCACGATGCAGTTGAAGGTAAGTCCGTGGGGAAGCATGACCTGATCATCAGGTTCCTGAGAGGAGCGAGGAGACTGAATCCTCCTCGCCCTCCTATCGTACCCTCTTGGGACCTCGCTGTGGTTCTATCTGCCCTGCAGAGTGCTACCTTTGAGCCTTTACAATCAGTGGAGCTTCAGTTCCTGTCAATCAAGACAGCGCTCCTGGTTGCATTGGCCTCCATCAAGAGGGTAGGGGACCTGCAGGCATTTTTGGTTGACAAAGCGTGCCTGGAATTCGGGCCGGCCTGTTCTCACGTGATCCTGAGACCCCGGCCGGGATATGTGCCCAAGTTTCCCACCACTCCCTTTTCGAGACCAGGTGGTGAACCTGCAAGCGCTGCCCTCGGAGGAGGCAGACCCAGCCTTGGCATTGCTCTGTCCAGTACACGCCCTCCGTGCTTACGTAGACAGAACGCAGTGTTTCAGGACCTCAGACCAGCTCTTTGTCTGTTATGGTAGGAAGCTGAAGGGAAAGGCTCTCTCCAAGCAAAGGTTGTCTCACAGAGTGGACGCCATTGCTTTGGCATACCAACAGCAAGGTCGACCATGCCCCCTTGGTGTGAAGGCCCACTCCACCAGGAGTGTGGCTTCCTCTTGGGCTCTAGTGCATGGCGCCTCGCTAACAGACATCTGCAGAGCTGCAGGCTGGGCGACACCCAACACATTCGCGAGATTCTATAATCTCAGAGTAGAGCCAGTTTCCTCCCGTGTACTCGCTTCAACTAGCCGGTAACTAGGATCTGCTCAGGTGTCTTCGCTTGCCCGCCATTCCACTCCTCGGACTGGATACGTGCGATATTCTCCTCAGGTGAGCTTCCCCGAGAAGCCCTGACTTCCTCCAGCACCATTGACGTCAACGCCAGAGTTGTGTCACCGGCAGCTTTCGTGTTGGCTAGTGCCTCCATGTGCATGGTTCCCCTCTGGCGACCCCCACATGTGTATTTCCACTGTAAGCCTCTCCGAGCATGTGTCTTTCCCTTGGCAAGGCACCTTGCCACCCCTGGGGTTGAAAGATTCCACCCTGCGGGCTGGATACCCCAGTGTTCTCCATATGCAGCCCCCCCTCGGCTCATATGTGTATTCTGTAAGTCCTCCCTTCGGGCAGTCATTGAGTTACATATTTCCACTGAGATATGCTTCCCAGTGTACCTTGGTATTCCTGGGTTAAGTAGGAGTCCTTCGTCCATGCTAGTCTCACGACAGGGAGCTCAGACTTACGCAGGGCACTGGAAGACAGCCGAGGTGGCGTGATTAGACTGGGAACCCCATTCGTCGTCACGACGTAACTCATAGTGACTACGAAAGGGAATGTCTCGGTTACGTATGTAACCTGAGTTCCGTTCCATTCCGTCTCCCTGTCACTTCCGCTGTACCGCTGGAACAGCCTGAGTTCAGTCTCGGCTCCTCAGCAGGTAACATAACTGCATGTTGCCAGCGTACTTCCTTATATACCCACGACGTGGGGGCGTAGTTACCCTATGCAAATTCCGCAGACCCATGGCATTTCCTTGCCATTGGTTCGTTTTGTAATACTCGAAATTGATAGGCTTTCTAAGCGAAACCCCATTAGTCGTCACAACGTAACGTCTCCGTTCCCTACTCAGGGAGTGAGGGTTACATACGTAACCGAGACGTTCTGGGTTCTAATCCACACTCGTATAGTTTTTTTTCTCTTCAAAAACAAATATGTTTATCAGTGGTTGTGTATCAAGCAGAGACACGTTTGTGTGCATTTTGTTTTGTGATTTCACTGGAACGAATAAAGAGTCTGCAACGGCGTTAAGCGATAGATTGAAGCGCACGTCCAAGTGAAGACTGTGTGCGAGGCACAAGAGAACACTGTATCCATCAATAGCATGATAGCAGTGGCAACGAGCTCAGCAGCTTGGTTTAAAAACAACACATTCAGCGCTAGAACACCTATTATTTAACACACAAACGAAATTAATGCTCTGCTAGTTAACTGGAGATGTTTTATTTATTTGTATTAGGTAGGCTACATCTGAATGTTTCAAAAGTGGTGGGGACAATATCGACCCTGGCAAAAAGTGGTGGGGACATGTCCCACTCGTAAATTACGATTACAACAAAAATCAGTTCATGACCATATTAATAATCATTTAGGCTACTTTATGATAATCTTTCTAAAGCATTGGTTAATTTAAAATATATAAAATAAATAAATAAAGATGTACAACATTAAACACAAAAAATAAAGAGGTAGCCTAGGGTACAACAGGGCTAAAGGCACATCTTAAGAAAAATGTGCTTTTCACTGCTCCCATAATGCATGATTGTAGAACATCTATATATGTTTGTATTGAACATTGATGGAGCAACAGATTTTGTGTGAAAATAAATCTTATAAATGAATAAATCCACACACGGGGTAAAACCAGCATGAGGCAAAAAGCACAAATCATTTATACAAATACATTAGCTAAAATAATATGTTTTTAATGATCTCCAAGTTAATATTGTTCACAACAATCACTTGAGCAAAGTTTGTACTATTTTCTGTTTATTTTTAGCCTGTGTTTCCCCATACTGCCTTTGTGCAGCGCGATTTTATTCACGCTGCTAGGCAGTCTGGATACCATGGACCAAATTTTCGCCTCAGCGAGGGGATCAATCACAGAACGGGGAGGGAGCAGCAAGATGATGACGACATCTATGCGACACACCGAAGCAGTTTGTTTATACCTTAGTATGGATCAAACATGGCAGCAGACGCGAAGTTACCTTTCGATGCAGCCTTAGATATTGTTCTAAGTAGTTTAGAACGCAAATAAATCTCTGACCCATCGTCTTCTTCCTCGTCTAATTTCTTTCGCTCTACAGACGTCATCTGGTATAATTGAAACATTTGGCTATGAGCTACGTACATTTGATAGACATTCGTAGCACCCAATAAACGGCCCTGGGCATTCGTAAACCACGCCTCAAATACGAGAAAATGAACATGTGGTTCCCAGACCACGTCTCAATGTCAATGAGACGTGGTCTGACGTTAGCCAGGCTAGTTTATTTTGATAAATAAAATAATTTATTTTTGTTCAATAAATATACTGTCATTAAAATATAAAATATGTTCTTTCTATCCTCTTGTGTTATATGTATGGATATATTATGTAGTGAAAATCTCTTTTAGGCCACTGATTACCACTTGATGCCCTGAATTTGGCTTACTGTACCACCATCCTGTAATAGAACATAACAATTTTGTGAAGAAAAAAAACCGCCAACATTTCTGCTGATACAGGACAGTTTTAAAACCTATTTGGTGGATAAGATGTCATTTAACATTATGAATATTCTTTTGTTTTCTTTTAGATTTTCAAGGTTGGATCATTCACCATATAAAAAAAAAACTATCCACAATCCTCATTCACATGCACTGTTTATACAGATGTGTGATTGGCGAGGTTTTCTCTTGGGTGATTTTGTCAGACAGGATGATCGTTGTGCTGATGAATGCAGGGAAGATGTGAAGGTAGTTCAGTCTGTCCCTCTGTCTGTGCTGATGACATATGGGGTTTCACTACCACACCTGAAATCTGTCATGTAAATACAATCTTGTATAAACATGAATGACATTGTGACCATTAAATGTACCACTGATCCTTTTTTCTTCTACTTCTGCTTGGCTATTTCTTCTGTCGGTGCAATCAAAAACACAGCTGAAGTAACAAGCATATGTTGTGTCTGGCTTGGAAGAAGAATGTGGCATCTTTTCTTGCTGTTATTTGCTGTTCAGTAGCAGAACCCTGATTTGAGAAGGACAGACACAAACTCAGTCATTAGAGTTTAGACTCACTCGTACAGGTCTTTCTCTGCTTCTTGCTTCGAGGTAAGTTTCCTCTCATGGTTCTGACAGCATTATTTTGAAAACTATTTCTATTAAGTAAGATTGATAACAAAAAATTACAGTAAAGATGTTAATAATCGCTTCTATAGTTCAAATAAATGTATTATTTAACTGAAAAAAAGTTATGCATTCTAGAGATCACTCAGTTTTTATCATGTTTCTGATGAATGTCCCATTGGTGTGACCAACTTCAAACTGATTCATCATCCATAAACTTGGTTTCTCATAGTTTTTGTCGAACCTTTGTTCTTGTGCCAATTCTACACTTAAACAGTTCAATGAAGCTCATTTATAGATCATTTTATCTTTCTTCTTTAAAGAAAGGAACTAAATAGCCTTCACCTGTCACCAAGAATAATAGACTGGGGACCTTACAAAAAGTAGTATTGAAAAGTTTTTTTTTTGGGAAACCAATCTTGGACTTTAGAAATGTGAATACTCGATACTTCAGGAAATTACAGTTTATTGCAATTTTCACCCTTTGTTAGAACAAAAATGTACTAAGCGTATATTTTCAAATCGCACTTAGAATGATTTTGTAAGGGTGACACAATATGCAATGAGTAATGACTGCAAAAAATGGAGCTTTCACTTATTTTGGACTGTATTTTTCAACTAAAAACTTTTCGTTTCTTCAGAAACTTGAATTCTAAACTTCTAAATGACAGTATATTGAAATCGCAGAGCTGCATTAAGCCTATTTGACTGATAAGAGCTTATTAATTTCATTATGTGATATCATAAACCTAATGAAATGGCACTTTTGCAATCATTCTCTCCCATGATCATTCGCACACAGGGGGACGTGATGTCGCATATCCGTATATTTGTGCTCCTCTGCACCTTCCTGACGATTTTCTTCTGTGCAGCAGGTAAGATCTCACTTCTCCCATCTGCTGATGTGATTAACCATTCTTAAGGATTTGTTTGATTTATTACTTATTTAGTCTGTTCCAGCTTTAGCCAGATCCATTAACACCACCGGACTAAACAGTCCAAACATTTGGCCAGAAATTCTGGCTCAAAGCATTATGGGAGCTAATTACACAGGCCTTTTGCCAATAAAAAGTTTAAAACTAACTGTGGAAGTAACTAAATGTTATGTAAGAGTGCTATATCAGTCGAATCAGCACATGCCTTCACATGTTGAAAAGGTCAGTTGAAGGTTATTCCTTTGGAATTGCTTGATTGGCTTTGCAGCAGTCTTAAATATTTCAGATTCTTCTCTCATTGTGTGTGTGTGTGTGTGTGTGTGTGTGTGTGTGTGTGTGTGTGTGTGTGTGTGTGTGTGTGTGTGTGTGTGTGTGTGTGTGTGTGTGTGTGTGTGTGTGTGTGTGTGTGTGTGTGTGTGTGTGTGTGTGCGTGTGTGTGTGTGTGTGTGTGTGTGAGTGTGTGTGTGTTTCTTTGAGAGCTATAAAAGAAACATACAGTATTTGTGTCAAATATGTAAGGGTTTCTTCAGTTATGAAAACTTTAAGCCCTGTGGACTTAATAATAAATAATACATTTTAAAAAAGCATTATTTGGGACAGAATAATTTATTGACACCACAACTGAGAGACAGTTGTTTGTGTAAAATTGATAGGAATAATTTTCACGCAATAAATAATAAAATAGCTTATTTCATTTCAATTTGCATAATTTAACACAAATATATAATAATATTTGGTTTCACATATTTTGATGGTCCCTTTAACACATTCTGTTGCTGTAACCTTGCACCTACAGTACATATAACTCTCATTAGAGTGTTAGTAGAGTATTAGTGGACTGTTAGACTTCTAGGGTTAGAATAAGTCAACATGTACTTGCAAAGTTACTTATAGTTAGAAGTATGTCTGTTGAAGGAGCATCATGATAAAGAGTTATCAGATATTAAGCAGACAGTCTACTAACACTCTAATGAGAGTTAGTTGACATGTAGTTGCACAGTTACTTAGTCAACAGAATGTTCAATCAAATTGAAATGTTACCTAATATTTTTATGATGGACTTTCATCAAATGTCTGGGACTAAGACATTTTGAAAAATAAATAAATGAACATAAATGTGCCTGAAGTAGAAGATATACCCTTGTTGTTTCTATGTCTTGAAGGTTTTCCAGCTCACAGGGAGATCCGGGTGAAGAGGAGTCTACCGTACTGGAACCTGTGGTCCTCTGATTTCTACGGCTGGGTGGACGAGTTGCGATCTCAGAGCGGATATGACACGCTGCTGGGCTTGGCCAGAAACTACTGGGCTCACTTTCCCATTGCTGGTTTTCTAGGTTACGGAAGCACCCCAGGGCAAGAAGACCATCCAGTGCTGGAAGTTGAAGACTTAAAATAACATTGTCTTTTCCCACTGGGCTTCCTCTGTGAAAAGTTTCCCCTCCATTATATGCCTGGGTTATACTGTATCTATTACATGTCTTTTCCTTATGGAGCATCCCCTTGCGGCCTTACTCTCACCTTTGAATCATTTTTACAGGTTTTTCTCTCGCTCACCCTTCAAAGATGTTTAATGTAAGCACAACATTAAGCACATTTTTGCAAATCAGTACAGAAATAAATGCACTTTGCGAAAGACATTTGTATTTATTTTGCCAGAGTTTTGGAGTCCAAACTGTTTTATAATTACATTATTAATGTGTTATGATCAGGGCTTTGACATTAACACCCGCCAACCCACCAAATGCGAGTTGATTTCAGCAGTGGTGTGTAATGCAGTCACTACTACTAGCCACTTTGGTGGGTTGAATGTCATATATAATATATACAATATATATCGTGGCTAATAAAAATGCTGGGTGGCTAGTAACTTTGGAAAACCGCTAGCCTCAGTGGCTGGTGAGCAAAAAAAGCTAATATCAAGCCCTGGTTATGATGATATAACAATAATTCTCCAAATTAGTCATGCTTTGACACCAGTGACACACAAATTACAATAAATATATTGTAGCAAATTAGCTCAAAGGGAAATATGAATAATTAAGCATAACTCGTTATAATTAATTATAAATATCTGAATCGGATTAGATTGAAGTAGCAGAATTAACATTACAATCAATTAACCTGTTCGTCTAGCGAACACTCTTTAATAATGAATTTTATAATTACTTATTCAAATTAAGTACCTACTCAAGAGAGTATGCGATTTCGGAAGCAGCCAAAGAATAGAGCAGGGTCACTAAGATATTGCCCTTTTAACTCAAGTTTGGCTTGACCAATGAAAAAGGTGTAATTTCAAGTGGGGCAAAGTTTATTTGTTTGGAAGCTGACTCATTTGGATAATCAGAGTGAGTTTGCAAATTTGTGTGCCATTAAACTCTGCCCAACTCAGCCCAATTTTCATGAAATTAAGATAGGATCACTTTGAAATGAAACATGATATTATATAAGGTTATATAAACTAGTAGTTCAATCATAATGCATTCATAAACGAGTATACAAAGACAATGTAAAATACAGTAATAATACACACAATGTCCTGGGGTGCATGTTAATTCAGAGAAAGGTTTGTCTTTTTATGGGCATTATGAGTCTGATCCAATTGGGAATGCAGTTGTGATATAAACTAAACATGATAAACATTTTGCAACCATTTTCTTTTAACTTTTATGTTTTAAAGCTTTCATCTATAACTGAATTTTATTAAGATCTGAGTTTATATGTCCACAAAAATACAATCATGAATCAAGAAAGTGTAAATGCTGAAAGACGATAAAAGATTTAAAATGTCAAACACACAGCCCTTTAAAGATGTTTTTTTTTAAGATGATTCTTCTTCAGATTATTTGACATCACTGCTGTGATACAAATTGTTTTCTCACAAGCCTGTACTAAGTCCAAAATTGTGATTTACTCCCATGCTGAGGGTAAAGCTCAGTTGCAGAGTAATTGAATGGCATTAATGTTACATGGTGTGTTCTGTTTACTGATTTACTTGTCACGTTTCTTCGTGTTCTTTTATGGCCTCCTATACAGCTCCATGTTTCTAGGTTTAATTTTCTCATCAGGCTCTGTTATCTGTCTTGAACATCCGGCTCAGAGGGCTTTCAGTGAGTCATCGTCCAATCACTTTCTCACCATTTGATCATCTACTGCGAAATGTCATCATTTTAATTGAATATTCCTAAGGTTAAGAAGGACATGATGACACCATTTTCACTTTTGAGCTGACTATTCCTTTAAAGTTTGCCTTCACTCGACTCGAGTACTTTGATGTGTTATAATTATATACAGCACACATTTTCCTCCAGAAAGTCATTTTGTCCCTTTTTCTCCCATTTATTTTTTATGTTTATTGTAAGTACAACATTAAGCACATTTTGGTTACACTATTGCACGGTGTCCTTGTTAGCCTATATAATTATGCATTCAAAGGGTTATTCAGCCTAAAATGAAAATTATCCCATAATTTACTCACCCTCAAGCCATCCTAGGTGCATATGTTCTTTCAGCCAAACACAATCGGAGTTATATTACAAAATATCCTGGCTCTTCCAAGCTTTATAATGGGAGTGAATAATATGAGATTTTGAAGCCCAAAAAAGTGCATCCATCCATCATAAAAGTAATCCATACGGCTCCAGGGGGTTAATAAAGGCCTTAAGTGCAAAGCGATGCATATTTATAACTTTATAAACTGTAGTCACTAACTTCCGGTAACATCCGTCCGCATGTTCACGAGAATCGAGTTCCGACGTATGACGTAGGATGTAGGAGTTGTGTAAGCTTGGGTGAGAGTAGACGCCTCTCGCGGTTCAAACATATAGGGCAGGGCAACAAACTCAAGCTCCTCCGGCATTTCTCTTTAAAAATTCTCTTTGTAGACTTCTAATTCGTGACCGGTTCCGCGTTTGTCAAAACGTCATGAGTCACTCTTCGTCCAGAGCTCTACTCACGTACGGAAGCCATTGTTTCTAGTTGATAAAGTTTTAAATATGGATATTTTTCTTACAAAAATGCCTTTATTATTAAAAATGCCCTGGAGCAGTATGGATTACTTTTATGATGGACGGATGCGCTTTTTTGGGCTTCAATATCTCAGTTTCTATTCACTCCCATTATAAAGCTGGAAGAGCCAATATATATTTTTTAATATAACTCTGATTGTCTTTGACTGAAAGAAGAAAGTCATATACTCCTAGGATGGATTGAAGGTGAGTAAACTATGGGATAATTACAATTTTTGGTGAACTAACCATTAAAGTACTGAGTAATATTAATTAACATCAGGTACTTATTAAAGGGTTATGATTGGGTTTAGGGTTAGTTGCATGTAATTATGCACAATTTATAGGTATTACTAAAGTAATCACATGCAACATCTAACAAGGACACTAAAATAAACTGTTACCCACATTTTTGTAAATCAATTATTTAAAATGTAAGCACAGCAGTAAATACATTTTGTGAAAAGATATTTGGATTTATTTTACCAGGGTTTTGGAGCCTACACTGTTTCATTATCACATTATTAGTGTGTTATGATGATATTACAAAGTAGACAATAAGCTTCCCCTTATGTGGTGGTGGTTTTGGCATGAACAGCACAGATGTGACTGTTATTTGAAATATGTGAAATAATATCCTCAGTATGACACATTGCTTCAAACTGATTTGTCTTTTTCACTTTTTGCCCGCAGTTGCTCAGAAACACTGTTTCATTATTATTTCTTGAAAGTAAAATACCTTGTATACATTTTTGGAAAAAAAAAAATCAAAACAGTTTCTGCTCGATGCTTTTCCTCTTTCCATCACACTCAAACATTTGCTCTGTCACTCTGTTTAACCCGTGATGCATGACATTCAAAAGAGTATACAGATCTTTTAAATGTATTTTTGTATGGCTGAGGACCTTTAACCCATTCCAAGTATTCAATATGACTTTCTTCTTAATGTCATTGTGTTTTTTATTGATGATGACACAAATTCAACATCAATATGTTGTGGACTTTTTTGCTTTTGAGTGACTATCTTCTTGTATTCAATCATGTAATGCCTAACAGCCAATGCAAATCTCTGGTAAATACTACTGACGACATAATTGTTGCAGGAAAGTCAATATTGAATACAAATTCCTTCAAGTTTTGCATTATGTAAAATAAGGCAACCTTGCCTGCCAGAGAGGAATGGTGAAAAATTGAACATTCACAGCATGGACCACATTCTCATGATGGTCCAAGTCCATGCTGTGAACTGCATGGAAATTGAATTTGTGAAATAAAAACCATTACTTTTCCTTCCAGACTGTGTTTCCTTTTATTAGAGTGAAGCAGTTCTGAAAGTCGCTAAGTTCTGCATGTACAATAATATTTAAAGTTTTCCATTCTGAGAATCACTGACTTTGAGCAGACCAAACATTCACTTATGCAAAGTTAGGATCCTTCCAGTTTCAATAAGTAGTTTGTGTCTGCCAGTCAGTCTACATCACATATTCTGCTATCATCTCTTCTCGAAAGAGTACAATGCAGTTGGTACATTTTACATTTCTAAAATTCATTTTCAGCAGTGTAAAAATCCTGTGATATTATACACAATGTTTCATATGAAACATCACTGCAAAGTGAAAATAAACTATCGAGCTGCACTAAAAGGCTGGTCTCTAAAGACATGCAGAAGACAATAGCTTTTGGAAGAAACAAATGTTAAAAAAAACACTAAGACAACACTCCAGATAATGATCACAATCCAAGCTTCAACCACTTGTCTTTAATTAAAAGAGCATTGGAAGGAAATTACTAACAGTGATTCATCAGATGCAAAAGAAATCCATGCATATTCACAATCACTAATCTGAGCGCTTAAATAGAGCAAGCGAAGCAACAACTCCACTATGCAGAACATACACTCTTCACTGCATCAAACTCATCATCAGGAATCACAGTGCTATTATATGAATATGATGCCGTTAGCATAATCACAAAATCTACCTTCCAGTAATCCACAATAAATCAAAGGAGACATCTTTGTTCCCCCCACCGAAACAACAGATGAATCTCAGGATCTGGTAGTCTGATACATGTCCTTCACATACTGGTGATCCAACGCTATCTCACGACCAATTCGTATGAATTCGTACGAGTGATTAAAAGGTGGCTAATTCGTACTAATTCATACGACCTCACTCGTACGAATTCGTACGATTTGTCTAAACCCACGTGATGGGTAGGTTTAGGGGCGGGGTCAGGGGTAGGTCATTCGTACGAATTCATACGAATTTGGTAACTCGTAAAATATGTACGAATTAGCAAAAATCGCACGAATTTTTACGAGTGAGGTCGTATGAATTAGTACGAATTAGCCACCTCGTAAAATTCGTACGAATTGCCGTGAGATCTGGCTGGGTGATCCGTTTTTATTAACGTTACTGGAAGAACTTTTGGTTCTTTTTTCTTTTGGCTGAACCATGTCAGAACTTTCAGCCAAATTTCTGGAGCGTTCCCTGTTAGCTGTTCGGTAAATGCCTGTGCCCAGTTTCTGCTATCAAGGAACACCATGGGGAGTGTCTTAAATTAATAAAGTGGAGGGACATGAGTCATGACATCCCTCTGCTGATACTCCCACTCATGCAAGCCCATATAATCCTGTAGTCAGAAAAATACTCTAACAAGGTGTCTCGGATTTCCTCGGTCACAGCTAACAACCAGCAAATTAGTGAGAGCTTGTACTTCCTTCACCCTCTGGGTTTGTAGACTTAGCCTTCTGACCACAAATTGCCATTGGCTGTTTCCAGGCCCATAGGGGGTCAGCTTGACGAAAGGGGCCAACTTCACCTCCACAATCTGAAACAAACAACTCCTACAACTCTGTTCAGTCCAAACAACTCCAAACCACACATGCATCTGATTTATACAGATCACAGTCTGCATGAGCTGATGCAAAACTAATCTTGATTTGCACATGATTTTTGATCAGTACATGATTACAATTTTGATTCATTTTGCACAAAGTGGAAGTAAGTTGTGGATAAAACAAAGATTATCGGATTCGGTGTGTTACTTGCTGTTTCTTTGTAGTTATTTGTGAAAGTTGCGAGCGTGAAAATTGTTTAAACGAATCACTCAAAGTAGATCATACACCATTTTTTCAAATCCTAAAAGCTGGTGAACCTTGAGGGTTTGGTCGTTTAAAGCTTTTGGCAACAGTTACCTAAACTCAAAATGATTCAAGATGAGAAGGCTTAAAGAAGTCAAACTAGTCAACATTTGAAGTGGATCAAAAAAGTTCCTCAAAGTTGTCCTAAGACAAGAACGGGTATTGTATGTATAACTTTGATGAAAGGTTTTGAATTGATCCACTTCAAATGTTGACTACTATAGAATCAAGGGCTGCAACTCCATTGAATGTGGAAAACTACTCACGCTGCACATGTGTATTCACTTAAATTTACAAGGAGACAGGGTCTTTCTGTTAAGCTTACAGTAATTTGCCAGCTGCAGTTTCCGTTGGGAATGTTTGCGTGGGCTTCCCTCAGGCTCTCTCCTCCTCTCTCCTCTCTGAACGTTTGCTTGCAGACCAGCGCCGTTGTGCAAATCGACGGAGAAGAAGACAAGAAGTCATGGTTTCTGAGAAGTTTTACCTGCGCCTGCTCACCTTTGTGGCCCTACTGACTGTACTGGCTCTCTCAGGTCATTTTTTCCTCTCTTTTTTTCTTGTTCGTTCGTGCACTTTACCGTTTTTTTTTTTGTTTTTTTTTAAAGTGTCTGCTAAAATGTGCTTGCTCTCTAGTTATGTCTGAAGTATGAACGTGGGTGATTTCACTTGGAATTGAAGTGGAAAAGGTGGGAAAGTTCAGTAAATGTAATGTGGGCAGAATATTTTTTTCTTTGTCAGATCAGAGTGAATGTGTATAATTTTTTTCACTTCACAGCATGTTAAATGTGTGAAAGGAACACTAGAGCGAGCAAACAGCTGGAGAGATTTTTGGAGTTTGCAGGAGTTTTTGCACTGAAAGTTATGAAATCTCTTGTTAGGACCACTTGTTTTTCATCTTAGGCTTGTTATAGTCTATGATCTTCCTCCCTCCCCCTATCTAAAGTGTCTGATGGAATCACACTTTCCACAGAGTTGGAATGCATGAGAAACTGTTCAGTCCTTGAATGAAGGCTTGAAAATACTAAACGTAGTTGAAAGTTATTCACTTTTTTTTTTGAAGGATGTTCATTTGTGATGCTATTTGTCTCTTTGTACTGTACTGTTTTGTACTGTTGAGAGTTTAAATGAGATGTTTTGTAGGCTCGATTATTACAGAAAGCTGCACGATGACAATGTTTGAGGGATGGTCATTTGTTTAGATATATATAATTAAGTAATATTATGTCAATATTATACCATATTATATTATATTATTATAGTATAGCCATTTAACCAAAAACTAACTACCATGATAAAAGAGGGTAAAACAGAAAACCACATGAATAATCGGAGTTCATGATAAGTGGCCTATTTGTAAAACATGGCCAATCATTTTTTTTTATTATAAATGCACAGGATCATCATACACACAAACACCATCAGGATAACACACAACACTAAAATAATGCAATAAATAACAGGAAATCTAACAGAAAAATGTTGTTTACCAATAAAAATGAGAAGAAACTAAATTATATAAAAAATGTAATCACATGTGATGTGATCCTTTGTTTTTCACAATAAATTAGACAGTATTTTATAGTAAATTTTATAGTGAAATTTTTCACTGTATATGGTAAGGTAACTTACAGGTAACCAATTAAAGATGTTTGTAATGTAGCATTTTTACTGTCAATATAACATTTTTACAGTGTATTTTTTTAAATAATATTATGCACACACACACACACACATGCACAAGCACAAGCACAAGCACAAGCACGCACTTAATGTATAATCCTTTTAATTCATTTTGTGATATTTTCTAGATGTTGCTAGTGAGAACACCCTGGAAAAACTCTTGATGAAAAGAGGTGACTTTTTTTATTTATTTTTATTGCATGTTTTATTTTGTCAGCAACAAACTGAACAAAATCACCAATAGAGTGGTGCATGACGTCCCTTTGTAGGTCGACCGGCCGTTATCATAACACCGGTTCCCTCGACAAAAATCCAATAGCATTTTCCCACAGGCTTTTGGATTATCGCTAAAAACAAGCTCTGTCATCAACAAAAGTTTATGATTTTGTCCATCAAGTTAATTATCACAGATTAACACAGCTTTTATACATTTTGAAGCCTAAATGCAGTTGCCAGAAGTAAAAAGCTAGACTATAAGCGAACTACACCATGCACGGTCCCACAAATTCAACGTCATCATCACTAAGTTTAACTATTTCAGTCTTTATCTAAAAACATTTTCCCAGAACGTTTGAGTTAGAATAGTTTATAAGAGCACAGTTATTAGCCAAATGAGCCCGTAAAAGCGGACTGAGTTTACCTGTTCAGCGGGATGACGTTAAATCTCTTCGACAGCCTCTGCAGTCCCATTTAGCCCCTTGTTAGCAACCGCCTTTTTCAAGACTTCAAAAAATCATGAGTGGGGTAACATTGATGAATTTTATGTTGTAGAATAAAACATGAAAGTGTCTTGAGCTTGTGTTCATTTCAGCCATTTAACCAAAACCCCATTCAAAAAACCCATTGACTTCGGGACGATGGAACCGGAAAAATGCTAACAGGCTTCCGCGTTTTGGCCTACAAAGTGATGTCATACCTGCACCACTCAGCCCCCTGTGTGTGTGCTTTAACCAAATTTGTGTCCTCCTGTCCCGTTGCTTTGTCTCCCACTAGTGGACGCTGATGTAAAGCCAGCTGCAGCTGTGGCTGTGACTCCCTCCAAGGCCAAACAGTTCCTGGCCTCCCTTAAAAGGCCCAGAAGAAACCTGTGGGACCGCAGCCGGCCTGACGTTCAGCAGTGGATCCAGCAGTTCATGTACATGGGCTTTGATGAAGCAGTGAGTACTTGTGTCAGCTTTTAATATACCATAAACCAATTTGATATATAACAGCTCTTAAAATAGCTTCGGGTATAGCTACACCTTTATGTCATTTTTTACTTCTCACCAACATCAATGTAAGACAAATTATGCTACAATTTAAGACAGAGATTTATTATGCGTTTGCCTTAACTTTGTCTAGAGGTGTTTAAGAACTTAAAAATACTTTATAGATTCATCATAAAATACTGTATGTTGCTTCTTTATCACCCTTATGTTTCCAGTCAGTTTGTTTTTGAATAGATGTTTGTGGAAAATTCTGTCTTGCACGGCTGTTTTTCCAGCCTGCATCTGAACGGTTTGATGTTGCTTGCACAAATTTTTATTTTTTATTTTTTAATTGCCAACTCTGGCCCTCGGGATCCACTTTCCTGCAGGGTTTAGCGCCAATCAAACACACCTCAAAAAGCTAATCAAGGTCTTCAAGATTACTAGAGTTACAAGCATGTGAGTTTAGGTTGGAGCAAAACTGTGCAAGAAAGTGGATCTCGAGGGCCAGAGCTGCCCAGCCCTGAAAAACATAATTGAATACATAATGGGCATGAAATATTGATTTGTCTGGCAATTATCTTGTAACTGTGGACCACTGGGAAACAGCAGTCAGTCAGGTATAGAGGGTTGCATACGATCTTCATGGACACAAAGAAAATGCGACTGCTGAATGTCGTAATTGACCAATCAGAATCAAGAATTCCTCAGGTCCGTTTGATTTAGTTGAATCAAATCCCATATGGGATTGACCTGTTACAAAAAGGCTACAGCCAATTTAGGCTTCCAACTTAAAGGTTCTCTAAGCGATCCTGGGTGACGTCACTTCTTGTTGACGTTCGAACTATTGTCAAACAAAACGGAGGCTAGCTAGACCCTCCCTCCTCCTCATCCGCACACTAACCCCCCAAACCACACCCCCAAACCCTTCTTGTCGGTCATTGGCTGGAACAGTTTGTTATGTTTCGGGGAGCGGGTCGCCGCAGTTTGTTTTTGTTGCTGTTTGTGGAGCCTGGGCTGTCTACAGAGATCGCGTTTCTTTACAGTGTGTTCAGAGGACAGGCAGCCAGCGGATAGTGAGGAGATGTTTGCTGAATGTGACAAAAAATGTGTTGGCCTAAAAAATGTGTGACATCGCTTAGAGCACCTTTAAGGTGCAACTTTTTATAAAAAGTTATGTAGGCTACATTTGAATAATTCCAAAAGTGTGTGTGTGTGTGCATGTGAAATCAATTTTGAACTCTCTTAATGCTCTACCTTAATGTAGTTCAAACATAAAGGTATTCACCAAAAGTAGGCTATTTTTCACAGATTCTCTATCCTTGAGGGATTGAACCCAGCTAACAAGGAACATTCAAGGTTGTCTTAAAGTAATGAACAAACGTTCTTCCAGTAGTTTTAATACATTGCATTCAGAGTTATCTGGTTCTTAATAATGTTCTCAAAGCACTTTTGTAAGCACAAAAAATGTTTGTTTTAGTTGGACATTTTTGAAATGTTACTAGTTTGTTTCAGAACATTCAAAATGAACGTTTCCATAATGTTTGAAGAATGGAATGTTTTCTTTACATTCACATTACAAAGAAATAATGTGTAAATGTTTTGGGCATTCAGAGAACATTCAGAAATAACATTTTCATAACTTAATGGGAATGTTAGAAAAATGTTCTTAGAACATATTATTGTTAGCTGGGATAAAGTTTTCAACTGAGAACCGCACATGACATATGCATAAATTATAGATCATGGCCACTAGTTAAGAATTCGTTCCCTTGTTTTAATAAATTGTGGCCACGAATTCGTTCCATCATTTTAAAAAATTGTGGCCACGTTGAATTAATATTTTTCCTCATTTTGATTGAACTAAAACAAGGGAACAATGTGGCCACGGTGTAAGGAGGGAACAAATTATTACAGTTGTAATCTAAACTATTCAACCCCCATTGCAACTCAGGTTTATTGGCAAAATGTACTGACTTTGCAAATGCAACAAAAAAAATGCAACTTTTAATGACTTCTGCAGTCTCAAAATTATTCAACCCCTTCATGGCAAGAATCTTTAATACTTAGTAGAGCACCTGTTTGCTGTTTAACCTGCTGCAAATGAGATAACATTTTCTGGCAGCGTTAACAGAAGACAGCATTAACAGTTAGTAGCGTTTCTTAGGAATCTTATCACATTTCTCATGAGCAATGGCCTCCAGTTCAGTAATATTCTTGGGTTTGCGTGCTGCAACCGCCTTCTTCAAATCCCATCAGAGATTTTCAATGGGGTTCAAGTCAGGTGACTGTGATGGCTACTGTAGAATCTTCCAGTACTTCTTCTGCAACCAAGCCAATTTGAGGTTTGCTTGGGATCATTATTCTGTTGGAAGCTCCAATGACGCCCAAGCTTCAGCTTCCTCACTGATGGCATGACGTTTTCACCTAAGATTTCGTGATACTTCAATGAATCCATCTTGCAGTCCACACACTGCAGGTTTACAGTGCCAGAGGATACAAAGCAGCCCCAGAGCATCACTAGCCACCATCATGCTTAACTGTAGGCAACTGTTTCATCGCTCCACAGAACAGAAAACCCCAAATTTATGTGGCTTCTTTATATGATTATGACTTGGGTCAGTAGTGGTATAGACTTGGAGTTCTGGCATGGAAACCATCTGCGTTTAGTACGCACATTACTGTGCAAACTGAAACCTCAGTGCCTGTTGCCACCAAGTCTTGCTGCAGGTCTTTTGCAGTCACTCAAGGGTTTTTCTGAACCTGCCTTCTCAGAAATCTGGTTGCTGTCGTTGATAGCTTTCTTTTTCTGCCCCGTCCAGGTAGTGTAACCACTGTTCCTTTAACTTTGAACTTGCGAACTATGCTTTCGATGGTGTCTCTAGGAACATATAGTGCCTTCAGTATCTTTTTGTATCCTGTTCCTTATTTGTGAAGGGCGATGATGTCTTCTGTTAACTTTTTGGACTATTCTTTTGACTTCGCCATATTTCTAACATGCAGTCAAACGTGACACTCAACAAACCTAGCCAGTTCAGATATTTCACGTGTTCTAGATCAAGCACACCTGGTGCAACTAATGAAGCCCTTGATTAGCTGCATAAGGTGTGCTTGAGACAACACCTGTTTTGCAGATTTTTGCTGTTGTGAGGGATTCTATTCAGGGGGTTGAATAATTTTGAGACTGCAGTAGTCACGAAAAGTTGCATTCTCAGTTAAATTTGGGGAAACCACTTGGCACATTTGTTGTGTTGAGCTATTGCAATTACCTTTGTTTGATTTGTTCATTGCAAACAGCTGAAAGCTTAATTTTCTGCCAAGAAACCTGATTTGTAATAGGGGTTGAATAATTTCAATTACAATTGTGTAATGTGTGCACGATTTAGTTAAAATGAGGGAACAAATTAGTAAAACATGCTGACATATTAGTAAGTAGTAGAAACAAATTGATTTGTGGCCACAATATACATATTTTTGTTTGTCTGACTGTCATGTGCGAAAAACAGCTATTGTTACTGCAAAAACAAATTTTATACATATAAACTCATTGTCCTTGACCCTTATCATTCACAAGGGCATAATTAAGCTCACAGATATCCGTCACCATGATTTTGTCAAGTAAGACACATTCCTGTGTCAACATATTTTGTTGATCCTGGAACAACATTCCTGTCCAAAATTCTGTCCTAACCCCATCCCTACCCCTAAATCTAACCCTACCCATAACTCATCCCTAAAGAGGGAAATGAGAGTTGAATAACACTGACATAGAAGCACCTAACCCTGGTTGTGAGCCTAAATGTGTGAGCATAAACTGCAAACTTGTCCCTCAAATCTGATTGGTTGATTAGAATGTTATTTCACCCACATATATCAGTTTTAAAAATGTTTTGGGCACATCTTAAATAGTACATTGATTAAACAATTAATTATACAGTGTGTAGTACAGAACGTCAGATGGTACAGAATGCCATTATTTAGTTGTGACATCTTATTTCAAACTTTGATTTATCTCATTGATTGGACCTTTTTCCCTCTCATTTCCTTCAGAGACTTGAAACTGATCTCGCCTATTGGATGGACCACCACCAATCCAGTGACCAAGGTCGCCAGCATCACTATGATGAAAACTCTCCCATAGGACCTCGGAACGCTGGGTCATACAGGCATGGAGCAAATGTCAACTATGACTACTACTAAAAGACCATGTCCTCCCAGAACCACGTCACTGCTGCCCAGAATACAGTTCTAAGACATAATCACTCTGATTTACTGCACAATGATGTCAGCTTGCTTATTTTGTAACTTGTACTCAATTTTGTAAATTGTAAGAACAGATAGAACATCAAAATAACATCAATTTGTAAGGAATAGTTCACACATAAATGAAAATTCTATCATTACTTTTACTCCAAAATGACAAATCCCAGAAAAAAATATCATAAAAGTAGGCCATATGATAAATTTGTGATAAAAGACTGAAATGTAGTTCATTACTGATAATATTGTCCTCCACTGTAGGATTTTAGAGCTTGAAAGCCCCAGTCTTCATTCGCTTTCATAATAATGAAAACACATTTTTTTTTTTTTATAATTTTTTTTTTTTTAAAACAACAACTTATGGGTTGGGAACATGAGGGTCAGGAAATGATGATGGAATCATTATTGGGTGAACTATCCTTTGTAGTTGCATAGACTGTCAATGGAGCAACAGAAATCTTTCATCAAAACATGAATTTGTGTTACGAAAGTCTTGCATGTTTGAAACAACTTGACATTTTTTTAGTGAACTATCCTTTAAGGTCTTCTATCTGGTGTAGTTTTAAAAGTCTGGAAGCAGTGTTACAATAAAGACCACAAAAACTAATTTTTCATAACCGTTTTTTTTTTCGTTCTCTTTTTTTAAAGAAATGAATACTGTTATTCAGCAAGGATGCATCAAATTGATCAAAAGTGACAGTATCGTGTTACAGAAGATGTATTTCAAATAAATGCTGTTCTTTTGAACTTTCTATTCCTCAAAGAATTTTCAAAATGTATCTCAGCTTCCTCAAAAAATATTAAGCAGCACAGCAAATCATCATATTAGAATGATTTCTGAAGGATCACGTGACACTGAAGACTGAAGTAACGATACTGGAAATTCAGCTTTTTGAAATGTTAATTATATTTTACAAAATTAATGTTATTGTATTTTGATCATATAAATGCAGCCTTGGTGAGCCAAAAGCGACTTCTGTCAAAAACATTAAATATACAGACCTCCATTTTTTTTATGCATCCAACAGTGGTAAAGGGAAGAGGGGAAAAAAGGGATTATGAATGGAAATGCAGCAGTGAAAAGCAATAAAAATGGGAAATGATCAGCCACTGAGCAGAAGGACAGAGATAGTGAGATTAAAAAGGGAATACAGTGAAAATCACAGTAAATATTTTATTAAAATATTCTTTTCACCTGAAATCAATTATAGATTCAAAGTTCTGTATGAAGTTTCACAAGGGTAACAATAGATTTTACTCAAAATCATCACAAAGGACATTTTCCAAAGCTTTTCTTTAATCCGTGTCCTCAAATTTCAGGACAGAGCTGGATGAGGTTTCCTGCTCCAGACCAGACATTCAAGATCTTTAAATAATATGCAATCGCTAATTTCCATAATTTCCTGCAGGCGTCCATTCAAAAAAACAAAACAAACACACTGCTAGCTTTGACAATGATAAAAAAAATCAAATAAAAAAAATAAGAATAAAATAAAAAAAAAACCTAGATCACATCAATTAAAACGGCACAGAATGTAAACACAACAAAAATGCACAAGATGATCTAAGCTTGCTTTAAATAACAGACAGATGACTGACAAACCAAAGTGCAAGGCAAAGTTTGTAAATTGGATATCTTTGAGGCACATTTGACTGAAAAACAAACTCTTTAGAGACAGCTTTTTGCCTGAGCCGCTTTTCAAAACATTTGCGCAAAAATCATGAGAAAAATTCCTTTTTTATCTTCAAAAAGATGTATCAGTAAGTGGGAGGTGGGAAACCCACACTGTAAAATGGCTGCTGGATGTCTAAGGTCCTCCAGTATCCCAGCATTCCTGAGATGAACACAACTGATCAGTTGTGTCTGGGTCTTCCTTTTTTCATCCGTGCAGCTTTGGGTTTGGGTATATACTGATTATTGGCTTGATGCTCCAGCTCTCTGCTGAAGTACTGGATGGTTTTGTTCAAGCCTTCCTCCAGTGGCACCTGCAAACACACAAATTACATTTTAATAAACAGACTGTTTCAACTCTGAATTATGATTGGATCAACCACAAATGAGACTGTTGTAAAAATGACATACATACTATGGGTGTGTCAGGAATCCTTAAATTTTGAGGTGCCCAGCCATTTATAGTGGTCTATGAAACCATAGTGGACATTATCGACTGCACGCATTCAATCCCACAATGCACTGCAACAGCTAGAGAATACCCACAATGCACTGCGAGGGTCATGCCGATTCAATTGCAGATATATTTCTTTGCTTGTTTTGGATCTGGGGATGCTGTACTATTGCAGAAGAACAGGACCCCCCTTCCAAACATTCATTTTGGCAATGATTGTAATAATCCAGTGAGATTTTTGTATGCACAATGAGTCTGACAACAGCCGGTATGATCTGATCTCACCATCATAGAGTCTGTATGTGATTACATGAAGAAACAGAAAAAACTGAGACAGACTAAATCCAGAAGAACTGTGGCAACGTCTCCAAGACGCTTGAAGAAACCTGCCTGCAAAGCTACAGTACTGTGAAAAGCTTTAGGCACTTGTGTAAAAATGCTGTAAAGTCAGGATGTTTTCAAAACTAATGTCATAAATAGATTTTATTTATCAATGAACTTTTATGAACTAAATCAAATCAATATTTGGTGTGACCACCGTTTGCGTTTAAAACAGCTTTTGTCCTCGGTACACTTGAACATAGTTTTCCAGATAGCTTTGCAGGCAGGTTTCTTCAAGCGTCTTGGAGACGTTGCCACAGTTCTTCTGGATTTATTCTGTCTCAGTTTTTTCTGTTTCTTCATGTAATCCCAGATGGACTCGATGATGGTGAGATCAGATCTCCGTGTGGAGCACCGGCTGTTGTTAGACTCCTTGTGCATACAAAAATCTCACTGGATTATTACAATTATTGGCAAAAGGAATGTTTGGAAATGTAAACTGATATTTCCTTCTGACACACTACAGCAAAAGATATAAATAACTGGCTTTTTTGTGTGAAAATAGTAATGTGCATGCAATAAGACTTTTGTACAGTACTGTATGCATGCATGGAAGAATGGATGGAAGAGTATGTATGGATGGACGGATATATGAAAGAATGTACTGTATGTATGTATGCATTTATGGAAGTATATGTATGGATGGAAGAATGTGTGTCTGTATAAATGGAAGAATGTATGTACGCACGTATGTATACTGTATGCATAGATGTATGCATGGATTGAAGAATGTGTGTATGTATGGAAGAATGCATAAACGTTCGTATATACTGTATGCATGTATGGATGTACTGTATGTATGATGGATGGATGAATATGTAATAGCTGATCCCGGTCATAAATCAAAAGTGCAGCAACCTGAGTTAAAAAAGTAAACCAAAATAATAACAAAATACAAGCACAAACAAACAACACCCCAGATGGACGGCCAGCCACACACATCGGCGCCATCTTGGTTGAACTTGCTGAAAGCTCATTTAGTGTTGGCAGCTCATAACAGTTAAACTCAATGTGGTATATGTGTCTCTGTGGTGTCCGATTTGTCAATATGTGCGTTTATTTTATTTTTTTAAATGTAAAGCACTTTGGTCAATCACGGTTATTTTAGCAGGACAAGATGAATATGGATTCATGGATGAAAGAATGTATGCATGTACGTTTGTATGTATGTATAGATGGATGGAAGTATATATTAGGGATGTCCCGATCAGGTTTTTTTGCCCTCGAGTCCGAGTCATTTGATTTTGAGTATCTACAGATACCGAGTCTCGATCCGATACTTATATAATACATAAAAAAAGAATAAAGAAGAGAGAAAAAACAGATCCAGTATGTTCCTTATTTTTTATTTAATTCACCTTATTTTAACATTCAACAACTCTGTTAACAAACAGAGCACTTCTGTGAGGTAGCTTGAACAATCAAGTAATAAATAACATAAAATCTTCACTTTTGGACTTTAGTGCAACAGTAAATATAGATTATAGAAAAAGTCTAATATAAAAACAAATAGCACCTCAACTTAAAATACCCGGCAGGCATGTAAACAAAAAATAAAAAATGTTTTAAAAGTGTATAAATAAATAATGAGAATATATATATATATATATATATATATATATATATATATATATATATATAAAATATATATATATATATATATATATATATATATATATATATATATATATATATATATATATATATATATATATATATATATATATATATATATATATATATATATATATATATATATATATATATATATACACATTAGGGGTGTAACAGTTCACAAAATTTGCGGTTCGGTTCGATACGATACAGCAAAAAGAAAGAAATGCCATAGAAATTTCCTATTTATTAAAAGAAAAACTATTTTTAAATAAGTTTGAGTTTTCCTACATCTTGAAACTTTCAGGTTTATAAATGGGGGTAATCTTTGAAGGATGAACAAATAATGTTTTGGTAATCACATTAAAAATAACATTTAAATATATATTTATATAATATTTGAGTTTTGAAGTGCAACATTAAATCCATGTTCATTCACGGCACAATGTTTCTCCTGGTTCCCACGTCAGCGCTGTTTGATCTAATAGAGATCTACGGTTAATAACGGAGACATTTGAATGCTTCTCACTAGATCTCGCAGCGATGTTATTACTTCAGTGGCGAATTCAAATGTTTTCTTCACTGGATATCTTAGCACAGTGTCGCTTGATCTCGCGCTGCACAGATGTTGCTGGTCCGAACTGATAAATGGTCCGTTAAGCACAATATAATGAGTAGCGCAGTTTCGTTCCGCTTTCATTACGTTTGCCATTTGATGTTGCGCAACGTTGTGGTGGTCGCGCCAGCGCGCAGGAAAAATGGTCCTAGGAATCGTTCGGTTTGTATGCGTACCGAACCGGAAGCCTCATACCGAAACGGTTCAATAATTACGAATACATGTACAGTTACACCCCAAATTTACATATATCCGAGTCCTGATCGGGAGGTAACGTCCGATTCCGATCGAGTCTGAAATCACGTGATCGGGCACGATTTCCGATCGCGTGATCGGATCATCCCTAGTATATATGCATGTATGGATGGATGGATGAAAAAATTTATGTATGGAATGATGTATGTATGTATGTATGTATGTATAGATGTAATGGAATAATACCTATGTATGGATGAATGGAAGAATGTATGTATGTATAGACGTATGTATGGAAGAATGGATGGATGTACTTATGGAAGGATGTCAAGTAGGTATTGAATGGGTAAAACAGTGAGATGTTATGATCAGTCTATAACTCACCACAGGTTCCCAGCCCAGAAGCATTTTGGCCTTGCGGATGTCTGGCCGTCTCCTCTGTGGATCATCCTGTGCTTCTGGAAGGAACTGAATATGACTGCGGCTCACTGAGGAGACATTCAGCGGCTGGGTGTTAATTCAGATTCTAACACCCCATTTGCAATTTTATAGAATTTCTACTTACCAACTAAACTCTTAATAAGTTGTGCAAACTCCAAAATGGTGTGTTCCTCTGGATTGCCCTAGAAGAGAGGAGCGGGCGGGCATGAGGAAGAGAGATCAATAGTGTTAGGTGGGAGAAGGTCTTAATATAGCCTTCATAATTTAATGACTAAAACTGAAGTTCCAAGCAATTCACCCTTTGGACAATGTGCCCAGGGTTAAGTGCTATCCGTTCAATTCAATGTAACACAAAGGCAGAATATTTCTGTAAAATGGGCTTAAACTAGCTCTGAAATGTGGAATGATGTGACAGGCAATAGATTGGTCTTTTTAGATTTATACTATCTGTCCAGTCCATTTAGAACAAACAGTCATTTACTAGGTTAACCCTTTAAGCCCTGAAGGCATTTTTAGAGTTGTTTTTTTTTCCGGAGTGACATACACAAAAGTAAAGACTCATAACTCCAAAAGTAAAGGAAGGAGAGTCAAAAGGTAGGTATTGATTGATAGAAAACTTTGTACTTTGTACAACTATGTACATTTCATAGAAAATATACATTTTAATTACATTTGGACATTCTGAGACATGCTGAGAAACTGCTGATAAAAGACACAAAAAAAGGGAAGGGAAAGCCACTTCTCTCCAGGAAAAACATCAGGGACAGACTGATATTCTGCTAAAGGGATTGGACGGCTGAGGACTGGGGTAAAGTCCTTTTCTCTGATGAATCCCCTTTCCGATTGTTTGGGGCATCCGGAAAAAAGCTTGTCCGGAGAAGAAAAGGTGAGCACTATCATCAGTCCTGTGTCATGCCAACAGTAAAGCATCCTGAGACCATTCATGTGTGGGGTTGCTTCTCAGCCAAGGGAGTGGGCTCACTCACAACTGTGCCTAAGAACACAGCCATTAATAAAGAACGGTACAAAAGCATCCTCCAAGAGCAACTTCTCCCAACCATCCAAGAACAGTTTGGTGACGAACAATGCCTTTTCCAGCATGATGGAGCAACTTGCCATAAGGCAAAAGTGATAACTAAGTGGCTCTGGGAACAATTTTGGGTCCATGGCCAGGAAACTCCCCAGACTTGAATCCCATTGAGAACTTGTGGTCAATCCTCAAGAAGTGGGTGGACAAACAAGAAGTTGATCGACAGCATGCCAGGGTGAATTTCAGAGGTCTTGAAAAAGAAGGGTCAACACTGCAAATACTGACCCTTTGCATAAACTTAATGTAATTGTCAATAAAAGCCTTTGACACTAATTAAATGCTTGTAATTATACACAGAAACATCTGACAAAAAGATCTAAAAACACTGAAGCAGCAGAAGTTCGTGAAAATTTATATTTGTGTTATTCTCAAAACTTTTGGCCACGGCTGTATAAAGTTTTTTTGTATTTGACTTAGTACATCAAGTTAAACTCTTGCCAACTAGCTGAAATAAAAAGTTGTATTATTTCATTTAAGTAACTATTTTTTATGGTTTTAGTTCCACTTAACTCTAATAAGCCCATACTATTTTTGTTTTCAATTTGTAGGGATAAAATTATAATTATAGCCATTCAACAATATTATAACAAGTCAATATGTGAATGGTCTGTAAGGCTTGTTAATTTAAGCAGAATTATAAACTCACCAGGTTAACTGGACTACTGATGTTACTGTTCATCAGGGACACCAGACCGTTCACCAGATCACTGGAGAAAAAGAAAATCGGCATCACAACACAGTGCAGTGAAAGAATGATGCAGATGTGATGACTTAATGTGAAGTGACGGGGAAATGAACGAAAATAATGAATAAAATGATAAACTATTGAAACTCATAAATTCAACAGAGGCATTTGGCAATTTGCAAATCCAGTTGAATGAACGAGTCACAGTTCATTTCCTCTTCAGGGCATTCAGACACGCATATATGAATTCCTTTAGTGTACGTGTGTGTGTGGGTGTGTGTGTGTGTGTGTGTGTGTGGGCATGAACACAGTGGGGCAGCAAAGAGCTCGCTAAATCACCAGCACAGCCATTCAGGTTCAACATCAGATATTCTGTTCAATGTAGGTTTTTCTGCAAACATCCAGTGCATTCAGTCTCACACGCTAAGACCATTTATAACACTTCCTTTCATCAACACCCCAAGAGCTGTCATCTACACATCTACAAGGACAAACCAAATAAACCCTAGCAGTACAAGTCCATTGAAATTATGATGCTTAAGATCACTTCCTTTTACATGCTAAGGGTTAATTGGATGCAATGGAGATTGTGAATAATGAATAGTTGAGGATTGCAAGGTCTGTTCAGGAACTGGGAAAGACTTTGCTAGAACTGTTTTGACTAGCACATTTATATTTAAGTAGGGCCTTGAAAAAAAAAAATTGGTGGGAAAAAAAGCATTGTGCAATTTCTCTCAGGTGTCTGCCTCCAATCCCTTCTCTAATAAATGCCCAATTACAATGAGAAGTGACAAAGCATTTCTTTTGAATTGGACCCAGTAGCCCTGCCCACTGTGTAATTACATTGGCCCAAAATTCCACTGTAGTTTAAACACCTTTTCTTTTGATTAGCAATTATTGTGTCAGGTGGTGAAGCAGTTTTGTGCTCGACACAATGATGGCTGTGTGGTTTGTTTTTCGATTTATGCCTGGTTAGAGAACTGTGTTAGTTATCATTCCAACATGTCCTAAAATTTTAAATGGAACTTTTATAGTATGACGTGTTTTGTTGTTGTTGAAAACATACCTCAAAGGATAATTTCAATATTTCTTTATCTGCCTCTTTTGCTCTGCTCTCTTGTTCCGTTATCCCCCACTGATATGAATGTGTGAACTGGTGATTTACATGAGCAAATGTGTGTAGCAGATTCATGCAAACTTCTAAATATGTTTAGTCAATAACTTACTAAATGGCAGTTGCCATCATTTGTGTTTAGCTATTCATAAAAGTCTAAGAAAGTGTATGACTTATAAACCAATAAATTACAGCAGGGAGCTTGGTGCCACCACACAGACCTTTATATTGTGGGAGGCAGTCCTAAAGCTATTATTATGTAGGATGGAGTAATTTGCATTTGTAAAAATAGCAGGAAACCAGTGGGCTTTGTGTTGCGCTTCTTACCACAAATTGTCTCAAGCTATTTGCTTCATACTCTTGCCTAATGCATGGGGGGGGGGGGGGGGGGGGGGGGGGAATCTTCAGAAAATCTTCGGAATAAACAAAAAGGTTGACGGAAACATCAAACATCACATTTACTCATACTTACAGTTATCAACTGTCTTTTTCAACCCCCCCTAAGTGTTAAATACTCCCTACGGGTTTGTGCTTCACACATGAATTAGACCTCAGAATCACATTGTGTGGCTTTGGCTTGTTGAGGAGAGGTTTTCTAGTTGCCAAATGATAAAATAGGTTAAAAAAAACCCTACGTTTTATACTGAAGAGGGGCTTGCACAGCATAGTTTGAAATCCAGGATTTCTTGCTTGCACGTGTCCAGTGACATCAGGCTGCTCTGTCCACATCCAAATTCACACAAACAAACCATCACATAGAGTACACCTAATTGTATGCAGGCCACAAATGCATACTTTAGAAGATCTAACAGCTGGTTTCATAAAAGTTTGCAAGGCTCATGAAATCTTTGATTTATTTGATATTCAAAGTCTTGTTTAAAAGATATAGATTTGCTGTAAGCTGACAGTATTAGAAGTATTATATTGTTTGCCTTTCATTATAATGCTTTTTTCACAGAACTTTTTTTCATAATTTTTCATTAGACAGAACTGTTAAACAAAGACAGTACCGTAAATGGACTGCATTTATATAGCGCTTTCACAGACAGTAATCTAATGAAGACACCTGTCTTTATTAGCTGTCAAAATAAAAGTCTCTGTGCTTTCAAAATAAACGCCCACTTCTGACACTTATCGCAGGGCCTAAAAATAACTTTTTGCCACACCTGCCAAAGGCCGATTACTTAAGAAAATGTACTGGCCATATTTTTTTACCGGCTTGAATTTAAGATACCAGTGAAAAGTCACAATCATCTATTCCAATTTTAATACCACAAATAAAACTACTAGCCTAACTAACATAAATTTAAAAAAAATTACAACTAACTAACTAAACTAACTAACTAACTAACTAACTAAACAGTCAGTAATAAAATAAAATAAAATAAACAGTGCTTTTCAGGTTTTTCCAGGTAGGTCTGACAGTTTTCAGGTACAGAAATTAAAAAAAAAATCTATAAAATAAAATTACACTAGATAGTCTTCACTGTATACATTAAACATCCATTTTAATTAATCCTTATTAAAGTTACAAAGGTTATTCGGTAAAGAGCAGTGAGTGACTTTTTCTTTGTCCTTTGTTGTTTAATTAAAAACACAGACAGCAGCAGAAATATTAGGATGCTGTCACTTTAAAGCCCCCCTGTAGTCAATCATTTTATCCCAACATGACACATTTAAATCTTTTTCCTGTGAAAAAAAAATATTCATGCCTTAAAATAGCTTGAATACAACTCTACAAACCTTGCTTCATTTAGTATACGTGGACCCATGAATATGCCAATTAGCCCCGCCTCCACTCACTCACGCCAGCTCACAAATTCACTCTGCCAACTTATTGAAGTGAACTATCCACAATGGTATCACTCTTTACAACGTCGGACACATAACGGTAATTAATATGATTAGCCTTTTGCTTGACTCTGTTATCAAACAGCAAATAATGTGTTGCTAATGTTACACAAACCATGTTCATGTTCACCATCTCAGAGTCAGACAGCTGCCTTCTAAAAATGGTCTTTTTGTGTTCCATACATCTAAAAAATACAGGTTTAGAATAACATGCAGGGGAGTAAATAATGACAGAGTTTTTCATTTTAGACGTGCATTGAACACTAGCCCCAAGAATTGCCTTTGATCTGTCTATACAGTAGGAAAGACGGATGGTGAATTGGTCTCTTTCCCTTTAATAACACTATGAGATCAATCATACTGGTCCATCCTCTCTTCACTAAGTGTACACTGCTTATTTGAGATAACACTCCCATATTTATCTTTATGATCAATCAGACAAGGGCTGCAAAGCTATCACCTTGAACGGCGTGGGCTCTGACCCTGGGAGAGGTATCAGAGCCTGTGAAGCGACGTTTCCAAACTATGTTTTCCTCCAATCATCTCTCCCATTCTTTTGTGTGATGGTTGACTGATGCCTTTTCCTCCAGAACAAATGTATATTAATATTTAAGTTTTGGTATTGAAACTGGTAAAAAGGATTGTAAAATTTCAATTTTTGTATCAACTGCTTTAATTTTGGCATTGTAACATCCTTATTTGTAAAGTAGGTAGGCTTCATCTTGAGTGTACACACTTAGCATGTTTGGTTTGATTAAATTAAACTCTGGTGTGAGTTTGAATAAGTGTGAACGCTGCCATCTGAACCCTGGTGTGCACCAACCAGCAAACCATGACCCACTTTTCCAAACAAACTGCTGCAGTTCGAGTGAAATATGAACGCAACACAGACCAAAGCTTTCTAAAAGAAACAAAAACAGGACTTGATGTGATAAGATCGCGCATTGGCCACCTAAATGCGCGCTCAATCACAAACAAAATGGCCCTAATAAACGATATCATCGTGGACAAAAATGTGACTTGTTTTGTCTCTCAGAGACCTGGCAACAACCCAGTGACTGCATTAATTTAAACATTGATGTTTAAATTGCTGCTTTCGATACCATCAACCACAATGTTCTAATCACCCGTCTGTCTGCTATTGGTGTTTCTGGCACAGCCCTGAATTGGTTCCAGTCATACCTCTCCAACAGAAGGCAGTTTGTAACACTTGGTTCACATCAGTCTTCCAAGTCCCTTGTCACCCGTGGTGTCCCCCAGGGTTCTGTACTTGGGCCCCTCCTCTTTCTCGTATACATCCTCCCTATTGGCCCAATTATACGCAGCCACGGTCTTAACTTCCACTGTTATGCAGATGATATCCAACTCTACTTTACCACTACCTCTCCCACTGATCCACCACCACCCTCCCTCACTGACTTAAAATTATGGATGCAAAACAACTTTCTTAAACTCAATACAGATAAAACCGAAATTCTGCTGATTGGCCCTAAAAGCATCCTCTCCAAATCTCACAGTCTCACTCTCAACATTGATGGTTCACCTGTCCACCCTACCCCTGTTGTTAAAAACCTTGGCATTTTGCTTGACTCCACCCTTAGCTTTGATCCTCATATCAAATCTCTCACTAAGACTGCCTTCTTTCACCTCCATAACATTGCTCGGCTAAAATCTCTTGGCTATCCCCCGCTCCAGACTTTCCACCCTGGGTGCAGGTCTTTCAGTGCCTTGGCCCCCAAACTCTGGAACCGCCTCCCACAACCTCTTCGTGACTGTGCTTCTCTTCCCTTCTTTAAAGCACATCTCAAGACTTTTTTGTTTAATGATCATTTCTCCTCAACAAACTCATAGCTTCATACAGATAACTTTTCTTTGTTGTATTGTTTTGGTTGTTTGCTGTTGTGTTTCATTGCCTTTCCACTATGTAAAGCGACATTAGGTTTGTGAAAGGCGCTATATAAAATAAAGTTATTATGATTATTATTAATAAAAAGGACAGAATGCTCAATGTGGTTCTTTTGTCATATGAGTTATGTTGCCTGTTACAGTTCAATACAGGCGTTGGAACCGCATCTCCTTGCATCAGATCTTCGTTTGTGTGCAACTGAGGAATTCCTGGAACTGTTTTGACTAATTTACTCATTTTAAAAGCTCTTTCTGATTTCTTAGCTGGAAAAAATATCATCATATGTACGCACATAAAACAAGAGCATTTAGCGGAGCACCCAGCATTGTTTTGGACGTTTGATAGGTTCAGTCGCTAATATGTCATAAAAGCTGTTTTGTTTTTTATCTTTAGGAATGGTGTTAAAAATGACAGTGTGAATACTAAGTGAACCAGGACTAACTGTATCATTTTCTTTTTTGGTTTGGACCAAAAGAAGCAAACTACAAGTGTGAAGCCTAAAACTGAATTAAAAATTGAAAGAAAGAAAAAAAATGTCTTGATAAACAGAGAAAAAAGCTGATGTTTATAACAACTCTAGCACGTTATGATGACTTACATAACTGATAAACATCACAGATACTGTAAGTTTAATCTTTCTGGCCAATATTATATGGACACCATGTGTTTAAGGGAGAGCAGATGAAAATATATGCTGCTTATATAGGATGTCTTTGATGTGCTAAACTGCTGCTTCTACATTGTTTTGAGCGTGATGCAACACAACAGCTAATCCTGAGTAGGTTAGGGCAATCCTGCTCTGATCTGTATCATGTCACAATATCTCCCAGTCTAAATATTTGGTGGTACATTTTGAATGACCTCATTCATAGAATTTTGTACAATCTGCTTATTCCCAACTGAGTAAAATATTTACACTTTCTCATGAAACTGAGTTGAAATGTTCTTCTATTTGGTTGGAATCTTTCATCTAGAATCACAAGTGCTGTACACCAGTTCAGTGATTTAGAAATATAAACAAGTCTTTAAAATATTCTAGAAATCATTTACAGTACATTGATGTGTTTGATGCATAGCCAAAGCACTGATACTGAACATTGATCTACTAGTTGAACTACAGGAACTTCTTTCTCAGACTGAAAAAAAACATTCTCTTAACCCACCTCATCAATTAAAAAATAAAAGAGTCAAGAGAGGTAAAAAGCAGATTTTTTCCCTTCTTCCCAGTAAATGCCTCTTAAAAGATAGCTATAGCTTTGTGTTTAAAGGATTGGCCTGTATCCAACAGTTTAAACCAGTGGCAAAAGAGATGTTTGATTACAAATTAGGATTTAAGCTGCTCTACGGCTCTGAAAAAATTTATAGCTTGCTAAAATGAAATAGATAAATATATATATACACACACACACATATTTATATATATATATATATATATACACATGCTAAAATTAAATAGATAATATATATATATATATATATATATATAAATATGTGTGTGTGTGTGTATATATATATATATATATATATATATATATATATATATATAATCTATTTAATTTGAGCATGTATATATATATATATATATATATATATTATTTTTTTTTTTTTTTTCACAACAACTTTATAAGAAACTCCAAAGACTATATAAAGAAAAACGTTCCTCTAAATATTAAACTCGAGGTAAAATGGCTTTGCAACATTGCCAGGCAGTACAAACTCACCCTTAATTTCCTTCTGAATTATTATGCTGTTTGAATTTGCCCGGATCATGACTTCAATGAACTCCCCAGTGTCATCAATGCCAAAAACATTACCCTCAGTAGAGTGGCCAGTAGTTTACATATGAACAGATGGTTAAAAACTGGGTAGAGCTTTTAGCAACTCAGCCAATGTCTGCCATTTAATACGGTGACCTCAAAGAAGAGTCTGAAAAAGATTCAGAGAGGAAAGTTGGAGAAATTCTGCGGTCATTCCCGTGTCTTATATTGCACAATCCTAATTAAGTGAACTTTGCACATCCAGGAAAATGTTTGATCTGCTGAATTAGTGAGACTTCAAATAACCCACGATGGCTCTGTTCTCTTACCCCACCGGAGTGTGGAAAATAAATACCTCTAGAATAGATGAAACTGGCTTTATTAAATTACACTCAAAATGTCGACTACAAACATTGCCGTAATTTCTTTTGAGATCATTTCTTCCTTTCTGTTCCCTGGAGGTGGAAAAATGATGAAATATATGTGATGGTCAGATGAAAAAGGAATTTAAACAATTCCGCACACAAATGGTGAAGGTCATACAACACTAACAAGGTGGCTCTGCCAGACCACTACCCATTCTTCCAAAATGTTATATTCAACCAGACTATTTTACTGCCACGCAAAAGAAAAACACAGTAACTATGCCAACAGACTAGGAAAAGTGGATATCCTTTTCCTATGAATCCGAGCATAGTTAAGCCAAACCTGTCTGCCCCCAAATATATACATCCCCCCTAAGTCACCCCTTCCAAAAAATATAAAGGCAGCTATATATTTTCCTGTATTAGAATCTATTTATACCATAAAAATTATGTGTAGAACATCTGGAAAAGTAGGAAAGAATGATTTTAAATGTGCTGCTCTTCACAAAATTACAGCTTTTTTTCAAAGATACATTCATATGTGATATGAATTGAAAGCGTAACTAAACGTTTTATCATAACATCAATCAATCAAGCATTTCTTTATGAGCTGGTATGCACCTTATGCTGGTAGTGATGATTGGCACATTACTAATAACTGATAAATTTGCTTCCAACAAACCACCCCATCATCAGTCTGTACACAAACACTGCAGCCGTTTAAAAAAAAAAAGTTCAGCCTTTGAAATACCTTCAATGCAATTACCAGAAAGCATAAGTAATCCCATCAAAAGCAGATCTCCGTCTTTAAAAACGCTATGGAGCAATCTGTCAGGAACGTCTGTTTTTTCACCAAGGTTCAATTCATTTAGACAAAAGATAGGACTGCGCTGAAGCAGTCAGGCTCATTTTTATACTTTTTTCCCTGTTGACGCGTTCCATTTATGCACTTTTTTTTGACATTACTGAGACCAGATGGGCTTTCTCACTACTCTTATCATTCACAATACCATTAGAAAGAATAATACACACAACTAGAGGCAACAAAGACAGATAGAAATGGAAAGGGACAGATGGATGTGTTGCATAATTCTTTGTTCGTGGCTGTAGCTTTAAAAAAAAAAAATCCATATTGCTTTAAAAACACTCCAAATGCCTTGAAGGTTACAACAGTGGAGTTGAAGCTTTCATTTAAACAAACAAAATGCTAGTATATTACTTTCCTATATTTCATTGTTTTTGTGTTTTCAAAGCATTTGTTTTGCTGTACTGTTGTACTGGTAATTACGCATCATCATTTCAACTGTGTCAAATACACATACTCTAAGAGCTCTTGGGAGGTATGAAACAAATGAAAACACAGCGATACTTCTATTTTAGTTTTATATTAGTGCTTACCTCACATATTGGAAAGCTCTTGTCTGAGAGCCTGAACCGTAAACCTGAAAAAGGTGCAGGAGAAACACACACAGAATTATAATCAGAGTCATCAGAGCACATGCAGCAAGAGCTGCTACAAAGCGACTGAGGAACAGTCAATCTGTGTGTGAAATCCTCATGTGACCTTAAGTGTTTACAATAAGGAAGCATGCACATTTAACAGAGTTTCTTCAACTTTGCACTTTTATATCCCTGGGGTGCATTTCTATATAAAAACAGATTTAAAGGTTTTTCTTTTTGTTATATGAAGGTCTTGGAAACATTTACCATGGCTTCATAATTTTTCGTTACTTTCCAATGCCTTATATGTATAGGACAAAAATAAAAAAAATAATTATAGCATGACATTATGCATAAATTGTGAAATATTATTTAATTGTGGGTATTTAAAATGAAATTACTTTTTTAAAATGTAATTTCCACCACTGTCATTTTCACCATAAAACAATTGGTGATTTGAGATGACAGTTTGTGATAGGTGAGAATTCTGTATAGATGCCCACTAGAAATTAATTGTAGATTTGATTAAATAAATGAAGTGTTTTTTTTTCATTTCACAAGGTTTTCACTCAATTCAGTTTCACACAGACACACATGAGTGTTACTTCAAAATGCAAGTAACACCCGTATGTGTGTCTCATCTGTGTGAAGTTGAAATGAGTTGAAATGAGAGTTGCTGTAGAGTTATGAGGTGTAATTAACACTGCACATGGTTCATAATTTTAATGAGGTGAACGGGTCTTACCGTCAGTGGCTCTCCCTGTAAAGCCTGCAGAATGAAATTACTGACCACTCGCCCATCATTCATGTGCATGCGAGATCCAAAGGTATTGAATATCCGAGCCACCCTCACCTCCACTCCTTCCTGCGAGACACAGCCACATGCAAACCTCATCAACACGAGTTCGGGTGCAAGTGTTAATTGCTTAGTGAACATGCAGCAATATTCAGTGAACAACACATTAGGATTACATGCAGATTAAGCTCAAAATGTATTCCTTTTTCTTGAAAATATTGTATTAATACTTGAGATCCTTGTATCAATACCTTCACATTTTTGTTTAAAGGTCCGAGGCCTCTAATGAAAATGCATCTATTTTGGTTTCTTTTCGGTTTGAATCAAAATATAAGCAAAACATTTATTGGAAGAATTCATGTAAATGTCCATGGATTTCAGAATCCATTAGTATTTGGTCTGTTCCTCTTTTGCTTTATTTACAGCAGCACTCGAGAGTCAAGCATAAGTGTCAATCTGTACAAGTATGTATGGATGCCATTTGTAATTTAACAGTGTCATACGGCATCTTATTTCAAGCAAATGTGACATAAATCATTAAATTTCCCTGGTCCACCTGTCAAAATTGTTGAAACTCTCCCATTAAAAACCACGTGGCCACACACAAACATTTCCAAGGTGTTGGTCATAGCTGGAAAGCCTGTAGCTCTGTAAGTAGTACCACAGGGGAAGACGTGCTTTTGCATCATGCACATTTCAGTGCTTCTGAATGGCTGGCATCCAATCTCACAATATATTTTGGGCTGAAAGTGCAGCTATGTTCATTTCAACAGCTATATTAATATAACAGTATAAGCCTTAAGGCAGCTTTAAGGTCATTGGAACTACTATTTCGGCTTCTCTGAAGTGGAATGATAAAACAAATAGTTTTCTAAGATGGTTCAAAAGGTTTGGAGTATCAAAAGACGGTGTGTTTCATTTCCACACTAATAACTACCAATACTCAGCTTACTGAAATAACCAATTTTACTGGTTTACAGGCATACCAATACCCCAGCAACACAAGAAAACCTTGATTACAAGAAGAAAATCAGGTTATTCCCCAGCAGCGTCGTCAAAACCTAATCATCCGTGTATCTGACTCTGAGTGTTCCACTTGTGTAGTCCATGTGAGCTGTGATGTTAAATAAAGCATTAAAAAACCAAAATGTTAGCAGAAAACATGTATGGACTCATTTTCCTCTCGTTTTAACAACTGTACCACTTAGGCTATACATCAGCTGGATGAGATGAGAACACATTTTTTGGAATTGTCTTGGGTCATGTCAGAGTCAGAGTACACATCCTCTTATTTCTTCCTTTTCTGTTTCTTCAATGCCATGTCAAACTGACACATAACAAGCCTATAAGTTATCCTAATTGTTATATGACCGGTTGTGAGGGACAATATGAGTATGACATTTTATACCAGTTCAAAGGAGAAACATTATGAATAAACAACAGGTCCAATATCAATATCCACCCTTAAATGATGTATATTTACACATATAGGGTGACATATTGGTACTGTACACGCCCAGCCTTTCTTGAGATTTTACTGTTTGTCATCTGGACAGATACTGTTCATATACAGTGGTAACACACAGCAATACCTTGACGTGCTGACTTGTGTTGGCAAACATTTATTTGATTGTTTTATATTCTGTTTGAATTTTATGTATAATAGGCTACTGACGCAGACCCTGTTTACACCTGGGATTAAGATGCGTTTTGGTCGATGGACGACGCTAAATACAGGTGTAAATGGGGTCTAAAACGTTTTGAGCTTGTCCACTTTTGACCGCTTCCAGAGGTAGTCGAAAACGCATTCAACTGGATTGCTTTCGTTGTGTAAACACTCATGTGATCGAATGCGCAAACAGACCGCCTACTGACCTTACGCGTAAAACATTATTATGGGAATCCCGCTAGACGGACGGAATTTAAACTTTGGCTGGAGACCCAAGTTTAGTTTTTAGACAAAAAAAAAACTTAAAGCACAATGGTCTCTCACCATTCCTGATTTCTAACACACACTCACCACGCTCAGCGTGGTCTTGTTTTTCCGTCGTCTCTGGTTGCGTTCGTGTAAATTGTGCGAGCTTATTTTGTCAATTAGATCAAAAAATCAAAAACAAAACAAAAAACATTTACCCGCCTACAGACCCTCCCCTCGAAGAAATCAGGACAGAATTGGACAAAAGAGAAGGATTGAAACACCAGGTGTAAATTGGAATGTGTCTCCCCCGTCTACTTGTGATCCGATCGACCAAATTGCATTTTAATACCAGGTGTAAACAGGGCCTCAGTTGATTTTAATAAAAATGTCTACATTGGCTGATGTTGATTAAGTGAATGCTTCAGTTTAATGTACAAAGACCATAATAAAAAGGCAAGCACATCATATATGACCTATTTTCAGTTTGATTCATAGATTAGGCTATATCAAATGGACAACAATCAAATGGATACAGACTGCTTCTCAAGGTTTGTTACAAGTCGGTTACAAAACTTCTGTTTAACTGCTAATAAAATTAGTTGTTGGCATGGCAATAAAGTATTGAATTATTATTTTTTAATATAAATGAAAATAGCATTAACATTACATTAATTTTTCCTGGACCTTGATAATCACAGCGCTATTTTTCAACTACTTACGACAATGTCTGTTCCTAAAATAATTATGAGAGACTGTTGACGTATATGTGGACTAAAAGTCATCCAATTATGCTGACTCATGCCTGTTTTTAAAACCAGTACAAATTTGTACAAGATGACAGTACAAATCTAGTCAAGTCTAAATTAGTACTTTTGGTTCCGCAGTGGAAAAAGACATGATGAACGACATGATGATATGTGAATGATTACAGATTCATTTTTTAATTGAACTATCCATGTAATGTTTGCTAATGTTAATAATAAAAGTAATGATGTAGTGTCAATCTGGCATGTTTATTTTATGGCATCCCTATAAAGACTAAAAGTGTGGTGGGACGTCCGAAATGGTTGACCACTTATGCTCTAAAACACTCTGGGTTTCTCATCACAAAGTAACAAATCACTATTGTCCACAATGGTTAAAAGGCCAGAACACACGGTTACACACACACATTTAAAACATTAAATAATAATCAAAAGAGAGATCACAGGGAATAAGCAACGTGAAGAAAAGGTCAATGATTAATTATTTCTGCACTACTAGCATTCTCATTCAATAGAGCTGCAAAAATAATGCTTTCCAAAGACTCATAAGGACCCTTCTGCACCACAGAGCCACAGTGTTTCAACTTTTCAGGGAATTTAAAATATGAATGGCTTACTTAGTCATCTCTGCACAATAGGCTTGGTCAGGGCAAAATATTTTAACATGAATATCTTACCACTGTTCCCATGAGCAATACGCAGTACCCACAGTCCCACACTACAAGAATGTCCATGTAATGACCATGAAATCGAAATTAACAATTCTTTTTTATGAAATGTTGCAGTGTTTATTAATGATTTATCTATGAACTGAACTAACAGCTCTAATATGAGCATGCAAATAAAACAATACAGCTTATAACTGCAAAATATGATAATAGCTACATAAATCATTAAACACAGTCCATGTCATTGTAAAGCCTGTACTTGTGTCCACATCAAGCACTGGCCTTGGAACAACGTAAGAGAGGTATAGAGAGTTTACCAAGAATAGTTGAATGTTTTAGGTTCAGTAGTTCTATAATTATCTCTGTGGGCATGAATAAAAACATGAAAACTCTCATAAATAGCATTATAAATGAAAGATGGGTGGCGAAAATGCCAGAAAACACATAAGGACAAAACAAGGACAGCCATAAGTGCCTTTTTAGCAAGGTAAGGCACCAGCCTGATTGCAAGGCTATCATGTGATTGCATGGGACGCTTTAGTTGCGATGATGAGTCTGTGTGTTACCACTGTTCAGACACAACGCCTGAAGCAAGTGTGTGATGCCACTGACTAAAATGTTAGGTAACTCGAGTAACCTTGATCCTTTTGATGAAAAAATAAATAAATAAATAAATAAATAAATAATAAAGTGGCCTGTGCACATGCACAATCGCAAACCAAGTTTGAGTCCAGCTCAAGTCATTTTCTGATCCCAGGCCTAGTTTTCCCATATGCACTATTCTACTATTCTTAAATTGTCACATTTGTAAATGAAAGTCGGAGAAAATAAAGAACAGACACACTCACGTTACGGACTGTAAAATCTCATTAACGTGTGGCAAAGCACATCACATTTCGACCTAAATTGAGATCTTCAAAATACCCTGGAGCAATACTGTGGGGGATACTTTGTAAAGGCTTTCAATCAGTTTGAATATGGACTGAGAGAGCTCTTTTGATCAATGATGGGTCTACACAACTCCAGAACATCTGATGCCTGGGGTGACGGTGGAGACACAGAGCTGAATAACAGGTAATGCCAACAGAAGAAGGAACCTCCTAAAGGAAAATTCCAGAAACTGGTGTGTTTGTGAAGGATGGTGATGTAATGGGAAGAGGGACAGCAGAAGGGACTGAAAAGGACTCATTAAGTAATTTAGAAAGAAAGACACAGATAGAGATTAAAGGTGACAGATCAGTGTTTTACCAACCTCATTTTAATACATTTATAAATGTGAGGGATCGAGATGAGACACCAGAGATTAAACCACATATGAAATATCTACAGAGTGGATTTCCAAGATAACCACTCCAACTAAAAATATCAAGTGCACACATCATGTGATGTGGTGTGTTTGTGGTAATAACACAATGCCATCAGAGCATATCGCACATGGTTTTGACACATTGTAGCTGCGGCTTTCACTCGGGTTAAAGAAGTTCCTGAATTCCGCTCCTCTATATTTATTCCTTTAGCAGACACTTTTTTCCAGTAACTTACAAATGAAAATAGTAGCACAATATATCGAAATGATCAGAATACTACAAATCATGATTTGCATATTGCAAAAGCTTGCAATAATTGAATGATTTCAATACTTCAAAAAGTTATGAAAAGTCTGTTTTAGGTAGCAGGGAACTGTTACTTGGCGTTGTGTGTGTGCACTACCGATGACTT